AATGGCCAAGAACAAAAAGCTGTCAAAGGACACCAGAAAAAAAATTGCAGACCTGCAAGACTGGGAAGACTGAATCTGCAATAGGTAAGCATCTTGGTGTAAAGCAGTGGTTCCCAACCTTTTTCCCAAGGGACCCCGTTTTTTACCAGTAAAATTTTTGACGACCCCCTCCCATTCTCTCTTCCAGTACAAACATTATTAAGAAATGATAAAATTGTTCAAGCACATTTTAATATGCTTTGATTCAATAGATAAAATAGATAAAAAAAAAACCTCTCTCTCTCTCATATCACTATTGTCAAATTTTAGATAAATACAAGTTTATAAATTTTACTAATTTTAAATTATTTAAATCTGCCAGTTTAATATATAAAGTTATACATGGTCTGGCGCCACCACCAATGAGTGATTTTATTAAACAAAAGTCTAGCAGTGTTGCCAGGTCTCGACTGACTTGAGCCACTGCTAGAGGTGACTGTGAACTGACATTCAGGCGGAATACCTTTTCACAGACTGCTCTGTCATACCAGGGAGTGACCTTCTGGAATAGTCTTCCACTATCTGTGAGGGAAAGTACCAGTCTAAACATCTTTAAGAGTCACTTAAAAGGGCGGCTGAGGGACGCACAAACATGTGATCATGTCAAACACTTATATTTTTTATTTGTCCGGGAAAAGAGTTGGTACATTGTTAAAAGAGAAACAACTGATAGTGTGATGGGTGAATGTAATCTCACGACAGTCAGGGCATATGCAGTATCGGGGTTTGTGCAATATAATTGATGTGTTTCCGTTATTGTTATCTATGCTGTCCTCTGTGTCCACTTTCCTTGACATTTGTTTGTGTTAGTATAATGGGATGACTGTTTTTGTCTCTGTCACGTGACTTGTAAATACTATCTTTGTATGTTTCCACTACTTTGTTTCTAACATCAACCTGCAGGAGGGTCTGCAGATGGAAATTAGCCCAAGGCTATAATCTGGCATATTTACATTTATTGAAATGTTCATTAATATGCATTGCCCCTCTTCCAAAAAATAAATAAATAAATAAAATAACAGTAATAGTAGGCTCCAGTACAGAACAAAGTCATTAACAAAACCAAACAGAGCATAATGTGCTTGACAGTTTGTATTACTTTTCTGAAAACATTGTTTCTTGTAAACACTGAAAAATCAATCATTCCTTTCAATAAACGTTTGACACATAAAAATACACTGAGCAAAATGTACTTAAATGTGTATGTTACTGTTTATACTAGATTATTTACTGTTCAGGACTCTAGAAGGCTCTATATCAAATACAGGTCATTTACCATTTACCATCTCACCCCGTGGGGTCAAAATGTTCACAAGACTGGTGACCTAAAATCCCAGAACTACACGGAGGGGCCTGGTGAATGACACGCAGAGAGTTGGGACCAAACTTACTAAGGCTACCATCAGTAACACACTACGTTGCATGCCTGCAGTGCCAGACATGTGCCCCTGCTTAGAGTCCTGTTCACAAAACACAGAACAACAAAAATACAAAAGATGGATCAAGGAAGCAATCGAGATAAGGAGATGTGGATGTGGGACCATGAACAAGGACGACAGAGTTTACACGCTGGACCACACATGGGACTGCATCGTCGGAGAGGGGAGAGTGGGCAATAGAGGGCGACAACGTCCTCTGCTGCCCGCAGATAAACGGAGAAGGAAGTGACGTGCCACCATCAGCTTCAGCCTGAAGAAGCTGGCAGCCGTCGGCGAAACTGTAGCTACAAAACAGGTAAACAGAACTGTTTCTGTGTTTAAAAAGAACGAAAGCATGGAATTACAATCAATGTCTTTTTATCCATCACTACAAGTGAAGAATCTGGGTGTTATTTTCGATTCTGAGCTGACTTTTATCCCCCACATTAAAAACATCACAAAAATAGGTTTTTACCATCTTAAGAATATCACCAGAGTCCGCCCCATTCTCTCTCGGGCCAATACGGAGACACTGATGCATGCTTTTATAACCAGTAGAATTGATTACTGCAATGCCCTGCTTTCTGGTCTTCCCAAAAAGAGCATCTCAGGTTTACAACTTTTACAAAACTCTGCAGCACGTGTCCTGATGAAGACCAGGAAGCGGGAGCACATCACTCCGGTTTTAAAATCACTGCACTGGCTCCCCGTACGTTTCAGGATTGATTTTAAGGTTCTTTTAATGGTTTTTAAGTGTCTTAATGGTCTTGGGCCTTCTTATCTTTCAGAAATGCTTTTACTATATAAACCCTCACGGTCTCTGCGCTCCTCTGGCAGCCGTCTCCTAGTTATCCCTAAAGTTAAGACACACACGCATGGCGAGGCGTCCTTCAAGTACTACGGCCCTCGCCTTTGGAACGGGCTGCCGGAGGACCTCAGGGTCGAAGGGAACGTCCAGGCTTTTAAGAATAGGCTCAAGACCCACCTTTTTAGCTTAGCTTTTAACTGATTACTATTTATCTAGTCTGTTTAACTGTATCACCTGTCATATTTGTTTATTTATATATATTTACCTATTTATCTCTTTTACTTAGTTTTATTGTTTTATTTACATCTTAGTGTTTTTACATGATTATGTTTTCTTTTACTATCTTTATAATCACTTTTTATCAGTTACTTTCTATCCATATTAGCTTTTGTTATTTTACATGTTATATATTTTAATCCTCCTGTGTTTCCTCTGCGGAGCCCTCTGCCTTGGGGCCGGTGGTCGGTGGTGGCGGCCGGGGCGCTCCTCAGGTAGTGCCCGGGCAGTGGTGGGGGTCTCCGCCCTCCCTCCCTGGGCGTCATGGGCTGTTGTCTTGGCTGCTGCCGTGGATCTGTTGCTGTCAAGGCAGATGGCTCCGCTGATGATGTGTCGTCCATTACCTGACCCATCTGAACTCAGCCTATTGTTTACTATGTTGTTCACGTGTGTGCGCACGTGTGTGGGTGAGTGTATGTCCACCTTGGAAATTGGTTGCGGGAGGGAAACTGCAATTATCAATTGTTTTATACTTGGGGAGGGTGGCTGGGATGGGAATATGGGATCTATGGGGCCATTTTAATCTGTGAAGCACTTTGAGTTGCATTTTTTTGTATGAAAAGTGCTACATAAATAAAGTTGATTTGATTTGATTTAAGTTTTCTTGAGAGCATTTGGATGATCCAGAAGAAGATTGGGAGAATGTCATTTGGTCAGAAGAAACTGTAGAACTTTTTGGTAAAAACTCATTGTGTTTTGGAGGAGAAACAATGTTGCGTTGCATCCAAAGAACACCATAACTACTATAAAGCATGGGGGTAGAAACATCATGCTTTGGGGCTGTTTTTCTGCAAAGGGATCAGGACGACTGAAGTAAAGGAAAGAATGAATGGGGTCATGAATCATCAGATTTTCAGTGAAAACCTTCCACCAGCAAGAGCACTGAAGATGAAACGTGGCTGGGTCTTTCAGCTAACGATGATCCCAAACACAACGCCCGGGTGATGGAGTGGCTTTGTAAGAAGCATTTCAAGGTCCTAGAGGGGCCTGCAGTCTCCAGATCTCAACCCCATAGATCTGACTGGGTAGGAAACTTTGGTCCACCTTTATGTGGTACTGCAGGGCTGAGCGCCGGAGTTGAGACCGAACTCGAACCGAATCAGCCCAATCGGTTCTGTTGGATTTGGGCCGTGAATTGTGCTAATTGAGCGGGTTGTCACGCGGCGCGCTCCTGGAAGCGCTCAGTCAGACCGAGTGCTGTGATGTGGGGAGATCCGGTCTTGGGGAGGGAGCGGGGTGAGTGACGGCAGCTGCAGCGTGATTATCTGTCTCATTTTTTTTAGGGACAAGGAGAAGTTAAAAGGAGAGAGAAATAGAAGATAGAAGTTCTTGTTCCACTTTATTCTTTTGCTTCATGATGATAAAATGATGTTAAATTCAGCTTAAAGAGAAACCGGGAGGAAGCTTAGGTTCATTTTAAGTTACAGGATCGTGTTTACTGTCTGCTCCTCCAGAGACAGCATCGACATGAGGGTTAGCCTACATGGTGAGGGTCCCACAGGACAGGTTAGTGCAGTCACACAGCCGAGCTGGAGGGGGACATGTGTTGACCTTCTTATTGCAAGCTTGTGTGTTATGTGTATTACAGCCAGCATCCAAGCAGCAAACCCCCCCCCCCCCCCCCCCCAACCCCACCACCACCACCACCACACCACCCCCCACCCCCCAGCCCTCTTGCTTCTGGGTCTTTTATGTGAGTGGCCCTTGGACCATTATAATTGAGGACCCCTGAGCTACAGTGTAGCCACAGCTGCCCTGGGGCACACTTACAGAGGCGAGGCTGCCACCAGTCTCTTTAACCATTAGCGAATGTGGGTTAAGTGTCTTGCCCGAGGACACAACAACAGCACTGCCAAAAGCCGGGATTGATCCTACAACCCTCCGATTACTGGACAACCTGCTTCCAGAGCTATGCTGCCCCTAATAAATAAGAATCAAACTGCTGAGATTGCTTCATGTGTGAGATTTAGTGCAAAATACTTCATGGACATGTTTTACCACGACCATAGGTCCAACAAATCATAAAATGTCCTCTATAAATTATAGTGTGTGATCTATTGATGCACTCCCCGACCCCTATTATGTCAGACAAACATCAATAATGGTTACAAGCTGATTTTTAAATAGTGTCAAAACCTAGTTTTGTTCTGTCATAAAACCCTGCAACCTAACATCTATCATATTATGGGACAGCTGGGATCCTCTGTGCCCTGTACTTTTCTGTCATTGCTGGGTGAAGATAAACAAACTATTGTGACTTAATTTAATTGACACCCAGGGGCAGGTTATGTAAGCTGGTGGCCAAAAGCCAGTAACTATTTGTTGTCTCCCATGAGAGCTGGGTTTCAGTGTGTGGCGCTGTTGTTCCTGTTCCTGCCATCGGTTCCTGCTCTCCAACAAATCAGTTTGAACCAAAACATGCGGATGAAGGGGGCGGCGCTGTTTCTGGGAAGTGAGAACACACACACACACACACACACACGCACACAGAATGCAGGACAGAACTCCTGTTTCTCTTGCTAAATTGAAGGTAGGGTCGGTTTCAATTTTACTAAAAAGGCACATTTCTGGCGTTTGTCTCGCGCTGCTGCAAGCCTATCTTGCGCGTTAGCTTAGCATTCAGTCCTTTGTATGTCCACGAACTGCTGTAGAGCAGCAGGCTGCAGTGTTTTTTTTTATCTGTGCACTTCAGCTGCGTGTTTTGTACTTAGCAATACTTTGAATGAGATGATAAACGAAAACATGGTAGACAAGCTGGACGTGCCTAAAGTCAATATTATATTTAAAATAAAAGCATTTAAAATGCATGCAGATTTGCCCGCTTACATACGTAAAAGTTGCCCTTAAGTCTTTATTTAGTAGAAATCGCCATAATACACACGTCACCTTTCTACTGCTTTTAAAAACATTTAAAGCTTGAATTTCTGGGCGTTAAAGGAGAACATGGTGTGACGGGCATTCTGTGCAACAGGTGATCTTGGCTCCCGGGCGCAGACGTGATTGACCCCTGAAAGAGCCAATCAGCTGACAGAGAGTGGATCACATTAACCAATAGGATCCGGTCTTACTGCTGGTGTGGGCGTTGATCTAGGCGCACACAGCAGCAGTGTCATAGCGGCAGATCCACTCGGGACGCAGAGAACAGGCAGGGTGGGTTTGCTGTCTCTCGGGGCTTTTTTATTCCGCCCTCGTTGCTGTGAAAATAGGAGGAAGTACTCCTTGAGCTGGATTTCATATCGTTTACACGACAGAGGAGAACGGACCAGGGCTTACTCTTTTTGTCCACTGTGGATTCAGACAGCTAGGTAAGGAGATCAGACCTGATTATAATAAATGCGTTTGCCTACGTGTTTTATTGTTCTATATCTGGATATTCTACGTTAAACACAAGCCTATAAACACATCTATTTGAACTTTTACATTCAATTTATAAAAAATAAGGTATCTGTTGCCTCCATAGCAATAACCAGTTACATCCAAAGCATTACAATAGCCATGAAACATGTGTTTTTTTAAGGCTAGAACTGTGTTCAGTATATGTTAAATGTCTTATTTTAATCTTAAAAGCCACATCATATGTGATGATGTGGCATATGGTTGATTTTTATGTACACGGAATGACTCAGACCCATTAAATGTGTCGAAATCTTCTGATGGCTCATGTAACGCATAAAAAATAAAATGTTGATCTAGTGGGAAAATGAATAAATAAAAGTGGCCTAATTTATAAAAAATGCTCTCCTCTATTTGGTTTGGTTATTATTTTGGGCCTTTTTTATGGCCACTGTGAGGTCAACAAACTAAAACCACAGATAATGGATAGATGGCATATCATAAAAGGTAGGATCATTTCATTAACATTTAAGTGTTTCATTATAAACCATGGACCAAAACTTTAAACATTTTAAGCTGAGTTTTGATATACGATGTATATCTCGAAATTTTCTTCCTGTAATGCATTTACCAAAAAATCAGTTTAAGACTAAAAGCTCATTTTATTTATAATATATTTATAATCTATGTAAAATAATTTAAATTCCATATGTGGCAACTAGGGGATGGCCATATCCTATTATTCATAAATTATTTTTCTCATCTACGAAGCAATAAAATCATGATGTAAATTCATGATGTAAATTAATTCACTATGTAGTGGATTACGCTCATGTGGGTGACGCAGCACAAAGCTTTTAAGCTTTGAAGGCAAACATGGCTGTAATCTCACAATATTCACTCATATCAGAAAGTAGAGAAAGATTCTTGGTAGTTTTGGAGGTATTTTGGCCGCTGCAGGCCCCCGTACTTGTTACCTGGCTACACAGGGGTTTAGCCTGTTTCTCCGCCCAAACTGGAAAAACAAAAACCCGTCAGCCATGGTGAAAAGGCCCACTGAAACACAAATGCCACCCCAAAAAATGAAAAGTTAAGAATCTGAGTAGAAAGTTTATAGCAGACATTACCCCGAGATGTTTGAAAATGTAAAAAACAACTTTTTTGTACATTAAGTCAGCAAACAATCAACCGGATGCGTAAGAACACGTGATGACTACTTAACCATCAGAGAAGCAGTAGGCTAGCGGGAGCGATGTTAACTAATTCTAGAAATTCACTGCTTGTGTCATTCATATCATTATAAATGCTACTGGGTCACCTTGTTTCTTATCTGAAAATATGTCAGAAGTCCAACTTAACTAAAAAAACGATCAAGTTTTTGTGCACCAGAATAACACACATTATGTTTTCAGGTTGTTTCTGCTGCCATCTTGCCATTTAAACACCTTTGAGGAGTTCTTCCTGCCTTAGACCCTTTTGATCACCAGTTCTTCCCCATGTAGAAATGGGGAATGGGTCATCTGAACAACAAGGCCTCCACTCAAGAATGTCGTTCTTCCAGTCCTTTCACATTGCCATTCTTGGACTAGATGCTGCCGGGAAGACAACAGTGTTGTACAGACTCCAGTTCAATGAATTTGTGAACACTGTGCCCACAAAAGGGTTCAACTCGGAGAAGGTCAAAGTGTCTCTGGGTAGCAACAGGACTGTCACGTTCCACTTTTGGGATGTCGGTGGCCAGGAGAAGCTTCGCCCACTGTGGAAATCATACACGCGATGCACTGATGGGATCATATTTGTGGTGGACTCGGTAGATGCGGAGCGCATGGAGGAGGCCAAGACAGAACTCCATAAAATCACCAAAAGCTCTGAGAACCAGGGGGTACCTGTGCTGGTGGTGGCCAACAAACAGGACCTGAGGCATTCTCTGGGACTAGACGAAATAGAGAAACTGTTGGCATTAAAAGAGCTGGGCCCTGTTACTCCCTGGCATCTACAAGCGTCCTGTGCCATCATAGGAGATGGACTCAGTGAAGGCATGGACAAGCTCCATGACATGATCCTGAAAAGAAGAAGGGCTCTTCGACAAACAAGAAGAAAGCGATAAATAAAAGCGTTGTCGTTGCTCTATGTGAAGGAAAAGTTTCTCCTGGGAGGATTTAAGATTCTCCGGCAGGTTTCTGTTTGCTATGCTGAGTTTTATCAGTCCCAGTCTGAGCTTTAAGATTCCCGATCACGGTCTCACAGGAATGTTTTTGATCAGGAAGTGAATGCAGAGGAACGCAGCAAGAAGAGGTGAAGGTTTCAGACATGTGTAGTTGGGATTACCAGAAGGATTACACACCACTGAGGGTTTGGGGTCTGGAAGGGTGATAAAAGTTGTTTAAAGGATGATTTTGAAGAGTTCTAAACTTTATTAGCAAAAATACCAAAAGGCTTTCCGTAACTGAAGGATCAGATGGAGACATTTTCAGTTGAATAACATTGCACCTGAGAGGAAGTAGTTTTTGTTCAGAGCTTAAAATGTGTACGTTTTTCACACTGGACTGTTTGTTTTGTGAAAGATAAGTATTATACAGTCTTGCAGTATCATCAGTTTGCCTGCTGTCTTGTATCTTGATTTTTTTTCTTCTTTAAATACGCACTTTAGATCATTTTTATGGTTTTTACAGATTCAAACATTGTGTTGGATTTATAGATATAATACAGCAACTGCTTATGTATAGTAGTTTTTCACACTGGCCCCTGACATATGGCATTAGACAAGATTTGCATAATGTTTTGCTAAATAAAGTATGTTTAGAACAATCTTGACACAGAGCAGCTTTTTGTTTCCAAGGTTTTTGTGCTGCTTTAATACAAAATGCATGTGGTGGTTACCAAGCCCGATCTTTAAGACCTTGGAATGTGTTGCCAAGGACAGATAAAATATTAAACCGAGCCGAGGGAAAGAACTTCTAACAAGGCAGTAGACCTGTTTTTCTAACATTGTGAGAATAGTTCTGCGACGTGTGATGGAGCTGAGACGCCTCTCAAAAACAAAATGCACGCTCAGCCAACCTAACCTTTAATTTTTACTCTACAAATTGGCCTTTGGTTTTGTTTTACGCAGCTTGCACACTAATTATGTCAAACGATGAGCACACCCAAAACTCGGGGGTCTATTTTAACGATTGGGGGGGGGGGGGGGGGGGGTTGACACGCCTTACTTTGGGTTTATTTCCACGGAACATTTAGCAAACAATATTAGTCTGTGTTGTTCTACATGTCCCTATCGTACACCGTGAACATGTGTGCGTGACAACCGCAGGTTAGGTGTGTGTCACAGATGGTTTGACCTCAGGGCTAAAAAGTGTTTCCAGAGTACTCGGAGCCAAACCCAGCACAACAAGCTGGGACAGGAGGCAGTAAAGTCTGCATCACTGGGTAATTTGAGACTGACTTGAACATACAGCTTAGTTCTTTAACAACACTTGTTTTGCCATTCCTTTGAAATAATTAAGCCTAACAGGCGGATGCAGCAGCTGCCTGTCGAAAATAACCGAGGTGCAGAGGGGTAGCCTTCAGACTAACATTGTGAACGTCTGGTCCAATTAAACGTAATTGTCATGGGTGTATCATGTCCAAAATACAATGTTCTTCATTTTTTAACCTCTGACAAAAAAAAAAAAAAAAAACAGGAAATGATGGTAAAATGTAACAATCACAGGTTCCCAGATCACCTAGTCTTATTAAAACATTGAATCACGTTTTTGTGGTCAGAGCTCCAGGTGCCTCTTCCTAATGCGTTTGCCAAGGGAGGAAACTTAAGGGCAAAGGCTTTCTCGCACTTTTCCTGGTTCTGCTTTCCTCCCTGCCACATCGGCTCTTTATCAGTCCTGCTCTGTTTGAGAATGACTTTAAGTGATTCACTTTTCAGCTCAAACACTCATCTGGGGATCACAGAGAAAGCACTTTCATTCTCCTGAGCTGTTTCTGCTGACACACTTCTGTGTGTTTTAAAACATATGATTCTATAAGTGTGACGTTTTTCCTTTATTAAGCACTTGATGGCTTTTCTGCTGGATGGCCTCCCTCCATATCTTGTCCTGTGTCTGGTTTTGTCCTTCTGAAGTCCTGGGGGGGGGGGGGGGGGGGGGGGGGGGAAGAGATAAATGGCTCGCCCTTTGGTTATCCATTAATCCATTAATGTCACATTGTTTCACTGGAACACAAAACTCAAATCAGCAGGATATAAAAAGCTCGCTGTGGTGTCTGTGAGCAGGACTGGTTTCTGATTTGTCCATCTGTACATGATTCCCTCTCATTGCTGCTTTTTTATACATCAGCAGAGCCAAATCAGCTGTTCTGGTTAAAACGCCAGAGGCGCAGTTATTATATTTTTCTTCTTCATCTGGATTGTGTACAAGATGTTCCAGTCAGTCAAACGGATTTCAGCATTCAACAGTTACAAGCTGGGCGGGGCTGTTGGTTTTGAGCAAGTTTCAGGATTTTTTTACGACACCTTGGTTGTTGGGCAACATAGTCGCACCCTCCAGCACTTATCAGGCCTTGTCAAGCAGTCATACATTTAAGATATCCTTGTTTGTTGGAAATTTGGAGAAATGTCAAATGTTTGTTTTCTAGAAAGTTTTACATACTCTCACAAGCCCCAGCCTCTGTTCAGATGACTCAACAAACATGTAAATATCCAGTCTTTCATATTTTATAGTTGTGCCTCAGGGTGTCTATTTAAAGCAAAACTTTAGCTATTCTGAATATTTGGAAGCTTTGATCGTTGGCTCTTCCTTTAACCCTCCCACTGTCCTATTGGGTGTGACCCCGCGAGGAAAGTTGACCATTGAGCAGGGTTGATGGTTTATCCCTTGGGTCCACGTGGCAGGGGTAAGGAGTGAGCACCACCTCACCCCTGTCACGTGGACCTCAAGGGATAAACCATCAATCCTGCTTAATGGTCAAATTTCCTCGAGGGGTCACCCATAAAGACAGTGGGAGGGTTAAAGATTTGGCTACAAATTTAAATGGACGAGGAAGATTTGTAGTTCCTTTCCAGTTTGGAATTTTGAGGAACAATCAAAACAATGGCTGTATACCATAGGAACAAGGTTCAAGGTTGACTTTATTAACCCCCAAGGGGGAAATTGAATTGCCATGGGCAAGTAAAAAACAACAACACACACGCACAAACAAACAAAAAATAAACATTCACTGGACACTGCTATAAGCCACAACCATGATAGAATTGTCAAATATACAATCACACAAAATGCTTGTATTAAAAATGCACTGCAGCAGGAATAAAAGAGTTCCTAAAGCGTTCAGTGGAACAACAGGGCATTAACATTCACCCTCTAAAAGAGCTCCTGAGATCCTTAAAAACCTGATGAAGGGGGTGATCCTCCAGAGACATAACTGTCTTAAGTTTACTCATCATCCTTAATGATGGGATTCATTTTTCAACAAGTAGGATGAATTTGACCGTAATTATATAAATGTAAAAGCAATTGGGATTTCTTGCAATTTTTATAACATTGAGAGTAGTAAAGGTGTTAGCATTCACTGCAAAGCCAGCATCCTACCAGGCTTCAACTGATAATGACACATTTGAAAACCGCTTTCTAAGGACGTTTTCAAACTCTCAAAGCGTTTTTGAGGTTCTGCGTTGCCCCGTGTCATGAGACCTCAGTGAAATTTTTTTGACCGGTTTTTATCTAAAAGACTCACCAAGTCATCAAAGGTTGTCATCAAAAGAAGTTGTCTGACACCCTCTTCAATTTAGTTCCTGTGAAGTATAAAGTTTAAAATGGGAGACAACTGGAGAGGTTTGGTGACCACCTAAAAAGTTGGGACTGACTGGTGGGAATGGACATGTGGATTTTTTTTTAGATATTCTGATCATAATCAGTCACCCTGAGTTTAACATGCAGGTTGAACATTGAAATGGTCTCCTACACCTACTGTATCTCCTGCATTAGCTTCTGATAAAAAGCAGAGGATGAAACGTAGGATTTGAAAAACCTGACATATCTGTGTCACATTGTCACTTAACATTCATGGATTCACCCATCTTGTTGGTTTAGCATCCAGGAGACAGCAGAGAACATCTCAGCTAGTAGAAGATAACCGTTAGCATTAACTTACTCACTGCCAGCTGCTTTCTAATCAGAAAGCCCCTGACTGCCAGTGTTTTTGAGCATTTTAATCGTTTTTTGAAGAGCCACAGAATACTGTGATCTATGATCATGTAAACACCAAAACTACCAAAAGAAAGGGTAGACTCACTTCTTACATCAGGATGAATTGTTGTGGTTCTTAAAATAATCTAATTTTGCCACGCGGAGCCGTGCAAACCTCGCGGACGCGTCAAGCAAAAACCAAGCTTTACACTGAAGGTGCTCAAACCTGTTCCCAAGCCCACCCCATTAAAAAACACAATGGCAGTAGGGATGTCCCGATACAGCTTTTTCATTCCCAATACGATACCGATATTGCAGCCTTCAGTATTGACCGATACCAATGATATATCAGAACAAATCATGCAGACTTTTACCTACTATTTTTGTAGTGTGGAATGTATGAAAGGTTTGATCAAGCGATATTAATCAGAGAACAAGAGCCACCCACAAATAAACTTCGTTAAAACATTGGTATGAGCCAATTTAGGGTAATTCTAATGGTAATGTGTGTATTTATTTAACACTAGAGGTCACACTAAGTGCAAACTACTTGATCCCTATGATGGTGTGCATGTGTGTTCCAGAGTGTAAAACTCTGAAGTCAGAACACCTGAGTGAAATCAGATACCCTTTTTTGCTACTGAATAAAAAAAAAATCACGTGAGTCAACACTGAAAGGAAGAAGACATCATTTGAGCTTTTGCATATCTGTGACACAATTATTTCTGCATCAAACTGTACTTAAACTCATCTCAAGGGTTTTGCAGTTTTTAGATTCGACCCTCCTTGAACATAAAAAGGGAACATTGCAATATATGCACACTTGAAACTTGATTATTATGCAAGGTTATCATGATGGGATTCATTTTTCTCTTCCCCCCAGTCTATTGAGAGCCAGTGGCCTATTTACATGTGAATTCCTCCTGCAGCCCTGCTCAAAGTAGAGAACGGGGCCACCTGCAAGGGGAGAGGGGGAGGATGAGAAGTGTACTCCTGTTTCTGTTGAGCAGAGAAGCTGGTTTTATTTATCCTTAGCCTGCAGGGAGGCGCATAGAGCCAGAAGAGCGAACAGAAGTAAAGTAGGTGCATACTCCTGTTGAGCCTCTCTTAGTTATAATGTAACGTTTTTTATTCCTTTTTCATTTTTAGTCTCATGTTTAGAAAGAAGTTGCACAAATAGGAAAAACAATTACAAGTTCCTTCTACATGCACATTAATATAAATGTAGTTTAAGGGAAAAGTTAATGTTAAAACCAAAATAAGACTTGGGCCATGTACACACGTAACCAGGGTTTTGTAAAACCAAATATCTCCCCGGCCTATTTAGTACAAACTTTGGTCTAAATGGTAAAATCTACACCATCTTGTATTCAGTGAAAACAATCCGGTTCATTGTGAAGCACATTCATAAGAATGCCAGACCTGTAGGTGGCAGTAGTTCTCCCAATCTTCACTAACTTTGCTGAAAAAAAAATATTTGGACATGAAATAATTAGGTGATGGGCAATAACGTCATCTTTGGCCTGTGTTCTGCTACATGGAGCTGTAATTGAGCTTGTAAAAACAAGCGAGTGGGCAGTGATGTAAAACCTAAAACTCCTGTAATTTACGTCCAAAAGCAAATTCTGAAAAACATAA